CAAAAAAAGAACTTGGCCAATATCCAGCCATCTTGACCGAACAAGCTTGGTCAATAACCCATACTTATTAAGTAGTAGATACATTTTCAACTTTAGGCTTTAATCATCATCATCATCATCATCATCATCATCATCTTCATCATTATTATCATCTGCATCATTATCATCATCTTTCATATTAGTTCTTTTGCGGGAAATGTATGAGAAACCACTAAATTAAAAGTTTGGTGGACTGCTCAGGTTTAGTTCCAACAAGACCTTGGAAAGGTCACTCTCTAGACATGTACATCAGCTACCCTTCAATTCCAACCAGTGGTTTTTCCAGAAAATGACTGGAAAATGATATAGTTACTGTTTGTCACTGTCCATTGTAAAGGCCCTGCATAAATGATTATTTCCTCAACTTTCACGTTTCTTATTTAGGGAAGAAGATGAAATTGCCGCACAAAAAGCTGTTGATGAGGTGGGTGGTTGACAACTATTGGCATCTCAGTCACAACTAAACATTGCTTAGAAATGCTTTGTAATCCAGACGCATGAATCTCATGCGATTTTTTGCCTGTACATTTCAGTACTTCTCTCAAAGTTCCATTGTTCCATCTCCATGGACGCCAAACCATGAAGCGAAACATGTCAAGTTCTCTCCTCTGCCACCTGCTACTGCTTGTAAGTATTACGAGACACCATCTCTAAGTATTGGTTGTTTTCCCTGTACAAAACTCTATTAGAACTGCAGTTAACTTCATAATGATGTGATTTGTTTTTATCCACATACTAAGTTTTTCAATTTGATTTGTGTGTTAATAACAACAAGGACTTTTGAGAGGTTGTAGCTTTTAATGCACAATAACATAAACCTATCATTTTAATTATTCTGCCTCTCAGACATTGAAGCTGAAAGTTCTGTGGAATCCTCATATTCATCTCCTTCCTCAACAAATTGCAAAACAAAAGCAGATGGTAAGAAACAAGAGTAATCTCAACTGTAATTCATTATGTAGACTGTTTTGTTGTTGTTGTTGTTTAGCAATACACATAAAGAAAAGAAAAACTACTTACAAAGACTTACAATACAAATACTTACATGTATGTACATACATGTACATTACTTATAAATTTACATAGAATAATAAAACGTTATTACTCTCGACTATTACAATATCCTTCAAATACGCATTACTTATCACATAGACGTTAGCTAGACTTGCCACAAGTCAACCTTCACTACAGAGAAACCAGGCCAGTGAAGCATTATTGGAAAGAACTTTTAGAAAGTCTATATCTGTTACAATGTAAAATTAAACCATGCTAACTTAAGGTATCAGTGACCAGTCCACCCACTGAAAATACAGGTTGTTGGGGGACTCATTTTTTTCCCACCACTCCTCTCAGGGCCTAGGTACTTCCATTTCGTCAGAAGAACAGGAAAAAGTAACTTTGTCCAGTTATATCATAAATTTCTACAATGTACTCGATTAGTAATTATAAAATAAATTAATTATTTTCTCTTTTCAGCAAGCAGCCAGACCAAGCTTTCGTTACCACCTGACTTTGATTTACAAAACCATCTTGGTAAGCAAACTGGCATCTTGAGGCTTATAAGTTGCAAAATACCTAACACTGAGTACTAACATTAAATAGCATACTAGATGAATTAGATGGTAAAGTTTAAGTCTGCATACCAGCCAAGTGGCCCACCAGGCTGGAGCTTATCCCAGTTTCTGTAACATGAAGCGACTAGGAATATTTCTACTCCCCCCTGGATAGGATGCCAGTCCATCGCAGGGTCCTCGCAGCATTAAATTCTCAGGTACCCATTTATACACTAGGGTGGAGAGAGGCACTATGAGAGTAAGGTGTCTTGCCCAAGAACACAACACAAAGTCCCTAGCCAGGGCTTGAACCGGGACTGCTCAATCTGGAGTCAAGTGCACTAACCATGAGGCCACCACGCCTCCCTCCCTTCCTTGTCGAAAATTACACTCAAATTGAGGTCTTTCTCTTTCAGGTTCAACTTATTACAACGAGGATGGCCTCAATGGCAGTAAAGACATTTCACTTTCGTCCCTAAGGCGGAAGCTTTTCATGCAAGTAGAAAACAAAAATGATGCTGAGAAGGATCCACTGGAAATAAAGTAAGCAACCATACTTCATACATATAGTAAAAAATATTAACTGATCAACACAAAGAATTTGCTAAAAGAAGTTGCTGATTCTGTGTATCTCAAGTTAGTAAACTACACAAATTATTAATTCGTGATGGTATTCCGATGCAATAAATGTTGAAGAATTTACAAGAGCTCTGGACAGCTTTTTATTCTTAATTTAATTAGAGCTAGAAACTCTTTACTAACAGTTGCTTATACATATGTTGTATATTTGCCAGTACATTCCCTGGTGTTTACATCAAGGTTCCCATGATGTGTAGTTGGCTATGTAGCAGTAGCCCTCTTTATTCCAAAACATGTTTCCTAGGCAGCCGTGGAGTCATAAATTCAATTTCTTCACAACTTTTCCCAAAAACCTTCCTTAGCCCCTTGGACAAGCAAAGGAAAAAGTACACCAGCATGAGCACAAATTCTGCTAACCCCCTGCTATCAGACATGACTTTCTTCACACCCTGACCCCAGTGACATGAAAAGCAAAACAGAACTGAATGATGGTACTTGTATTTTATTGCACTGTTTCACCTGTATGCCATATTTAAGACTTAGCCTTTTTTATTAGATCCATTTTAAAGAGCCCCAAAAGTCCTGTTTTGGTAAGTATTCTGTTGAACCCTTGTTACTTCTAAGTACAGTGCATAATCATACAGAGTAATCTGCCTATTGCCAGCTTTCTTAATTTCAAGTGGAATTTCCCCTTGACAAAAATCANCTGCAATTTACTCGTGTGTAAAGGTTTTGAGTTAAGATAGTTCGCACGATTGAAATCAAGCGAGAAATAATTGCATGATGGAAAGCGAAGACGAATCGCCGCACTCCTCAGGTTTGAAGAATGTTTTAGATTTATGTGTACTGTTATGTTAGGAAAGTACATCGAGCATTGTATGACAAGTTATTTTTATTTTTACGTTTCCCTACGTTTTCCTTCTCTTGTTATTAAGTTGTACGTCATCGTTTCCAAAAGAACAGTCTACTCGGCTATATAAGCCAAAGATTAATTATAAGCTAAGTGAATTCTTGGTCTTCCAACCGCACAAAATGGTATGGTTTCAATATTTTCATACGTGTTCCTCATGTATTTCCACAGTTTAAGTCTGAAACCTGATCTCACATGTACCTGCCAGTGGGTGTTATAAGCCAGGATAGGGAGCAGGATTATGATATGGGAGCAGCTGAACTTAGTGTAGCCAGTAAACACAGTCATCTCAATTGCACGTTAATGCACCCTAGATAACAGGCATTTTCTCTCACAGGGAGGCCATCGTGGCATGGCTGAATGATATGCCTACATGGTAATGAGGACACAATGCTGTAAGTAGTAATCTTAAGTTTTTTATTTTTCAGAAGCAGAACATGCTGAAAATCCAAATACTTCACTTGATGATGGTGGTCCTTTAGAAGTATTGGCACTCTCTGTGAAAGATGACAATGAAGAAGAAGAGAAGGAAGTAGAAGATATTAATAATGATGATGATGAGATGCCACCAAAAATCACAATGGAGGACTTAGCTGATGATTTAGATTCCTCAGAAGAGAATGGTAATGCTCATGGCACAGACTCGCCACAGATGAAGTTTGAAGAACTGACTCCTAGAGTAGAAGCAGTTCCTGATGAGAACGCTGCCACAGAAGCTATGGATACTGGAAATGTCAGACATGAAAGCACATCTGATGAATATCCCAAATTGCCACAGGAGAGTGGTATGCAAGTTGAAGATGTTGGCTCAAAGTTTAGTCAAGAACCCAAGAGTTATGACCATAGGAATGAACATCCAGGACTTAGGAAAGACATTCCAAGTGGACATTCTATAGCTCCTAGCCACAGAAATTGGCAAACAAGGAATTACAGTACTACAGAAGGCTTTCATAAATCTAGTCACCTTAACGAACTTGATGAGGATGTTGTAATGATGAGAGCAAAAGCTGCATTAAGAAGAGCCAACAGGCTCTCTCCAACTCAGGGTGTAAGCAGCTATTCCTATGATCCACACAGTTTGACACTATCTGATTTGAGTTTAAATGTATCCTCCGCGTGGGAGCCGGTACGTATGTCAACACCTTTAGCTCCACACCTCAGTACCCCAGGTAACTATAGAAGTCGTAGAGATCATGACAGTCCTTACGGTTACAAGTCCACCAGTAAGTCACATAGGCATGATAGTGCTGGCGTAACTTACAGCGAGGAATCTGGATTTGGTAGAAGTGGTGGAGACATGGCATCGCATTACTCCCATGGAGTTTCTGGGAAGAGACTATCACCAGCTGTGGAGGACATAATCCGAAGAAGGAAATTCCAAGGAGGTTTTGAAGGTAATGTCAACGTTGTGTGATAACACAAAGTGGGCCATGTCAGGTAATGTTAGGTCATACAATGGCGGCAATGAGCAATGTTTTAAAATACTAATCATATGTAGCAGGGTTGTTACCAGGGTTAGAAGTAAACGGCTTTAATGTTGGGGTTAAGGCAGTTGATTTCGCGATCTATTTCTAAGAATTAGATGGATAGGTCAGCAGAGGTCAGTCAGCTGAGAGTTCTTTCTTTGGACTGTATGACTTGAGGAGACAAATAAAATTCAGATTAGCCATAAGGTTGTACAGAAGGATTCAAATGTCATTAAATTTTATTTTTTATAACTGTCGAAGGAGAGAAAACAAACTTAGGTTCGTCATAATTATTTTGAAAGAAATAATATGAGTAATTTTTGAGGATGCTCATTTTTCTTAAGCATTTAAGGCAGCCCAGCTCTACCTGAAAAAGGTCTGTCAAATTTATAAATTAAAGGATACCCCAGCAGTACCATATTTTGCCTAGAGATCTAATGAAAGAAAATGGGGCTATTTGAAATAAGTCTGGAACATTTTTTTCTCCCGAATACGTCCCTTCCCACATCCCCATCACCCTTTTATCATGATTTAATTTTGAGCACATCCTATTTGCTCTAATTTGCAGGACGGTACCCACTGTCCACTTCCTGGAAGAAGTCAAGTTCCCCTTTGTTTTCTTCCAAGTATGACAGCAAATGGCAGCTTTCACACACTTATCCCATGTCATATGTGGAATGGAAAGCTCTATATTGGAGGCCTCCAAGAGATCATTTCACATGGAGAGATCGCCAGTATCAGACAAATCAATATGGTTATGAGTCAGACTTCAAAAGGTGAACAAAAGCATAATACTAAATAGAGATTTAACAATGTTAACCTGGTTCATTCAGTCTGAATAAATTATGCAGTCTTGTGAGATTTAATCGGAACACTTAAACGAACAAAAAGTGAGCGTATAATGTCTATTCTTTGTACTACATAGTTCAAATTAATTAACTGAATGGAAAAGAAACAGTGTTGTGTATTGTATGACATGATTGAGTTTCAAATGATATTTTTTTCTGCAGATCACCATGGCCACCAAGACCTGTCTCTTCAAAGCTGATCTATGGTTCACGTCCACTGTCTCCCCCAGTAACCTTTCCACCTGCTAAGGTTCCCAGGGCAGTTCCAGGGGGGTTTGTGTCCAAGATTGCCTTACCTTCCTATCAAGACAATAGTGACAGTGGTTATTCAGACTGGCAGCGAGGTGGCAGCCAATGGGAAAACACAGTCAGAAGTCAACACAGTTTAATGGGATGTGCTGGAGAGTTCCAATACTATTAATCAGAGACAATACTGATTTTACAAACTCTACACATTGGAGGACTAAACAGCGTTAAATGTTATTGACTGAGTGGCAGGGCCAGACAGTGTTATCGACTTAGTAGGAGGGCAACAACATGTGCACTCATCAAGTACCGTGGACAGGTCTATAAAGAGAGTCGTACAGGGAGGGTCTCTTGCACAGTTCACGAACTGAAAAAATAGTGAATCATAGATCGCAGATATCAAAATTTCATTTTCCCAAATCACGAAAATAAGCAAGTAAATTTGTACTCTTTTTAATGACCTGCTCTTACACTAGAAAAAGTGTTCAAACAAAGTAAAATCAGGAAAGGCTAAGGCCAAGGCTCCATATTGCAAATCGCATACCTAAATCACTCTCTCAACAGACAACCATTTGGAGGACTTTGCGTCTCAAAATCACGTAGAATAGAGTGGTGAAATCACGAATATCAGTTAGTAATTCAAGTTCTTCACTGGTCATGCAAAGTCTTTGGGTCACAGATCAGTAAGAAAAAGTTCTTAAATTCATGTTTCACGGAAAATAAAATCAGGTAATCACATATCACGAGAATACCCCTGTATGACCTTCTATAACCTGTACACTTGCACAAGAACCAGTACTTACTACCTCACTGAGTAAGAAGGCTAGTAAGTACTTATTGAACAAATAGGTGCAAAGCAGTATTTTCATGGTGACCATTATTAAGACAATGGGCTTCATGGCACTTTTCAACCGAGTACAGCGTTAACCCAGGTTGATGCATATTTATTGTCCGAGTAGGAGAGTTTAATAGGAAAATATCAATCTTAACTCCTCAGGCCATGCCCATTTCTCCTTTTGTAAGGGAAGGATTTAAATGCTTTAAAGAGATTGAAGGAAGTGAATAGAAATAGGAGTGCTTCACGGTGACACATAGTTATCATTATTATTGATTCTCAGTAATAATTATTGCAAATCAATAATAATTTAGGATTATTATCAATGTTTGATTAAATTGATCCTCAACACAGTCTCAACACATTTTGAGGACTGCTAATAATGATAATTACCATTTGCCTGTATTTTTTTAAAGTTAACAAAATGTTACCTGTTATCTGTATTTGAAAACTCCACTTCAGTAGTTATCTTCAGTTATTATGCACTTCTAAATTTATAATAACTTGTACAGTAGCCATCATAGTACAGGAGGCTATTTCTGTGGATAACTTTTTACACCTTTAAGACTTTTATGGATATTTGGAATACTTTGATTAACACTCTGTGAATAGTCTTGTGATCAGTGTCCATCGTTCTCAAAAATTATTTATTTTGTACCCACATGCAGGACTTGAAGTTAACCTTTTAATCCATTTGCAAAGTTTTGCTAGTGAGATTTTTTCTGCTAGCAAACCGGTGAGACCACTGGCAAATTCTTTCCAAATGTTTGGGAGGTATGGATGATTCTAACTCACAAACGTTTTGCTGGTGGATATTTTTCTCACTTGCAGATTATCAAAATCACTTGCATTTTCTGAGTTTGTGAGCATTAATTTTGAGTCCTGACATGTAAAGACTGGCTGATCATTGGGTGTGTTTTACTCAAGGACAAGCTCTGATAGTCCTTATTCTAATCAG